ATGAGCCGCGTGTTGGGCTGAATGAAATGAGCCGCGTGTTGGGCTAAATGATATGAGCCACGTGTTGGGCTGAATGAAATGAGCCGCGTGTTGGGCTGAATGATATGCAATGCCGCATGTTGGGCATAAATGAAATGCTAGCCGCGTGTTGGGCTGAATGAAATGAGCCACGTGTTGGGCTGAATGATATGAGCCGCGTGTTGGACTGAATGATATGAGCCGCGTGTTGGGCTGCATGATATGCTAGCCGCATGTTGGGCTAAATGATATGCTAGCCGCGTATTGGGCTGAATGATATGCTAGCCCAAATGTTTGCACAAAAGTTATGTGAAAAGTAATGCTTGCAGACAAAAGTAGTAAAATGTCATGTTAGTAGAGAAATATAATAGAATGCTTATTTGGCAGGAAAATGAAATGGAGTGTTATGCTGATATGTCATGTTGGTACAGAAATGTTATGGAATGCTTAGTTGGTAAGAAATGAATTGAAAAATTGCTTTTGAAAATAAGTTGAGAAATTGCCTTTCATAGAAATGCTTTTGGAAATGTCATGAAGGAGTTTGAAGATGGTTTTACCTTGTGATCTTGAGATGCAGATTTATTGGAAAAAGAATTTACCTTGGGTTTGCAATTGCCCCTCAATTTGAAGTTTGTATTGCATGCTCGCATCTATAATTGACTCAATCATATCACCAACGAAAACTATATTTTCTCAATACATCATATGTCAATTGCTCAAAATGATCATACATGACAACAATTAAGTTCACTCCTTTGGGATTCTTGTTGCTTTGACTCCATGTGAGTTATCTCTACTTTCTTTATAAGTAGCATGAATGAAACAAAAGCCTTTTTTTCTTCTTTTTTTTTTTATTATGAGGATACGATTATAAGAACAAAGAGAGATGGAATTGATAGGTATGAATGGATGACATGATTAAGATGAAAGAAATGGAATTCTTGACAAAAAGATGAAAGGTTTGAAATTCTTAACAGAGAAGAAGAATCTTTTCCTTGCTATCTCAACAAATTATAATCATTTCTTTCATAGAGTATAAAGATGATATCTTTAACTCATGGATCATTGAATCATTTGAATGGCTCAGCTTCAAATTTCTCAATATTTGCCCCCAGCTTTTTAAGGCAATCATATATTTTTATCACTCAAACCACATTGGAATTTCAAAAGCTTTCAGATCCTCTGATAAGGACTTTATTCAGCTTGTAACGTGGTCATTGACTTGGTTAATTTGAAAGAAAGGATATTAAGCTCAAAATGTCCTCCATGCTATCTTTGACTTAGTGATTGTAATCATCAAAATATTTAAAGTTTCAAAACCTTCTAAAAGGACTTTTGCTTTGGGTTGTAACGTGGTTTGGGGTATGGTTTTTGAAAGAATGGTCGTTAAAAGCTCAAATTCCCAATTTGCCCTCAAGTTACATGCCTTTGCTAGGAGCTTCACTTATTTTGAACTCTTTTTTTTTTTT